CAAAAATTAACTGAAAATGCACCACTCAGTTCTGATGCAACTAATTTTGGAGCACCATCTGCTGGTCTGCTTCTAAAACAACAATCAAATTTCCCAATTGCTGGTAACATCTGGATAATCATCAGGTTTGCACTGACTTATCTGTTATAAATTTAGTAAAAGCTCCCACGAGCCATGCATTAGCATCATACTAGAGGAAACAGCAGAATTCATGTAATAGTGATAGCTATAGAGGGGATGAGTTGGAAAGTTTAAAATGCCTGAAGTTACAAACACATTCTGAGTTCCCAGTTTACACCTAACTGAAGAACAGCAAGAACAATGTTGGGGGATTTTTTTGCTCTAGTTTTGAAAGCCTTAACCCATCAGTTGAGAGTACTTTCAAGTTTTCAACGAAGTTCCTTACTCAGTTCCAGGAGTCTCCTCTTTTGATGTCCTACTAAAATTTCAGGATGTTTTTTGTTGCATCCTGCTTTAGTTTTAAGATATAAGCCCTTTTAGAACTACCCTACAAGTTTCACAAGGGAAAAAAATTACAATGGAATATCCATCTAAGGAAGAAATGCATTCTAATAAAAGAAGGTGGGAACAGATGTCGCCAGTGCTGGGGGGCCTCTGTGAACCCCAAAACTGCCTAAGCAGTCCTCAGTGATAAGACACGTTTGCAAGCCTTGCCCAGACAGAATTTTGCTTGCAAAGTGCCTTCTGAACCAGCAGACAGAGATCGAGATAAGCAGACAGGGAAGTTCCATGAAGTCCATTCTATGAAGGGATCCAGTCTAGCATATCCAAAAGGGTGGGGTTTCTAAAGGGTTTTTTATATGTTTTGGGGGTTTTACATTTTGCACCAATTAGCAAGGGAATTCTAAAACTAACCAATCTACAAAGGACCTTAGTTGAGAAACTAACCAATAATACAAAAGGAAAATGAACCACTAATATTACAGAAAGATAACACAGGGTTCTACAAGAGGGGAAAAAATACTTCTTGGTATTCGTCACTGTAAGCAAGCAATTCCTTATCTTTAAGGTATTGTCTTCCATGGGGCTCCTTCCAGGGGCTTGGAGAGGGTTTCTGCTTCCTCCACACACAGACTACCAGTAATTAATAAGATAAAGTAGATTGCAAAAGAACCTAGAAAATCTTTTAGAATAAATTCTGCTCCAAGAAGTCCAGAATTCTTTACTTTTATGGACTGAATTCTGTGTATTAGAGGAAATACTATTCCCACCTATTATTCCCATCTGTTTTCTATTGCATTTTGAATGCTTATGTTGACTTCCTGGTACAGCTGATGTTTAATAGCAGCAGAAGCTTCCAAAGTGAAAGATTTGTTTCAAGTTTCCTTGCAGCTTTCTGCATTTCCCTGCCCTTTTAGGCAATGGTTGCACTGGACTTCAGAGTAGACAGAGGTGACTAAATCAATCCCAGATGCTTGCATTTGTTTACAGCAAGCAGAATTATTACTATCTTTCTGTTGTTATTCTTAGGCAATACAAGATTGAAGATTCACATAAAGTAGATAAAAATATTCATCCTTTATTTAAAATAACAAGCTTTCTCTGCCATGCTATCTGTATTTTTCATGTGCATGAAATTAAATGTGTTGCCTAGTTCTGTTTCACAATGAGTAACTTCTCCCTAAGAACAATGGCATGGGCCTTCAGAGCACCTGCAGATGCACAGGATCCACAGCTACACCATTCCTTCTGTTCAAGCTTTTCACACTCTCTTCTCTACCTACAAAGTCACAATACTGATCCAGCTTACTCACTCTCATGGTCTTTTCCTATTGCAGTGCCCTGTAAACCACTTCATGCAATAGACTAGAAACACAGGATTGAAGGGAGAGACTGTGAGGAAGAAATGTACATTTTGCCAGGGGTTTTCACTACTTTTGTAGCTGAACCTAAGAAAATTGACAGTGCTACATACCTCTGTGGTGTAGATCCCCTTCCTTTCTCCCCATGAGCTGGTTTAAGACTGCTGCATCCACATGCTTTTCCCACAGCTGGGACAAGTACCACAGAACACACCAGCAACAATTTCATATGCCATCAATTCTGTATTTGCATTTCACCATCAAGGCTTACTCTTCTTCCATAAAGTCTGGATTAAATTACATCTGATTTCTGAAAGACTGAAAATGTCAATTATCCTGTGATAACTGGGTAACTGTACACTTGTCCCACCTTTCCAGGAAGGCTTCATGGTGGTTATGAAGTCTCTGGAAGGACCTGCAAACTACAGGTTGCTCTTGGATAATATGATTTCAGCATAAAATGAGCTATATAATAATCTTTTTGCATAGTTTAAGAATTACTGTCCTCTTAGGGTAATATTCCATTCCACTGCTCAGTCATTAAATGGGAACAGATTTAATATACACTGTTAAATAAGTGAAGGGGAGTATGAGAGCACCATTTGTCTCACACTGCAGGCCTACTAGCAATGTTACAAAAGTTTGGTGCCAACATACAGCATGCAACTAATTTAAAATGCTGGAAAACACTGTGTTATGGTACTGTCTTATATGTTACCTCCTTCAGAATTTAATTTTAGGGATCTATCTCTTTAGGGATGTCTCTCTTCTCTGTAAGACACCTAACTACATAGTTCAGGAAAGATAATAATCCTTTCGTGAAAAATCCTGTTATTTTAAGATGTCTATTGTTCTACAGTAGGCTGATGATAAGAATATTAATGTAAAAAAATTAGAAAATACTTTGCACTTCCCACATCAGAAAGTCATACATAAACTGTCTGCTTAGCTCCTGTGAGAATGGTAATTGTACAGCTGGTGTCCTGAAATGCCTTCTCAGCTGCAGAGAGGAGCATGGAGAAATAGTGAGTCACACCACCAGCTTTTGATGTGAAACTTTAAATTCTGGCATCCGTGGCACCCAACTTATAATTTTCAATATACTTATGGCTGGGAGAGCCCCATCATCACGTGGGAAATTCACAAATGTAAACGAATATCATGTACGATTTTATGATTACATGAATTCAATTAGTTTTGGCAAAAGAAACTTGTAAGAGTGAAAGAAGCTTTAGCAGCAATGAAAACATTTAGCTGACCAGTACTACTTCAGACTTAACACTTCAAATATTAAAAAGGACAGTGAAAAAAAATTCTTTACATTTTAATTTATAAAGTAGAAAAGCATAGAAAGACTCATGCTTCATGAAGGACAAGCAAACATGATTTAATAACAACACAGACTTAGTACAATGAGATGGAAATTATTCCATTGACACTCTATAGCAAAGACAGTTTACTACCTGAAACAAGGTAACCTACTTTAAAAATAAAAACACAAATCAGAAAAAAAATAACAACAAAGCTCATGGAAGAATTATGATTGATCAAAAAGATCTCATTAGCTGTCACAAGGAAATATTACTTGGGTTTAATTCCATTTAGCATAGAAGAAAGTGAATCTATTCAGTAACAATTCACCCACAGCTAAGAAAAAATCAGCTCGTACTAAATCTAAACTGATGAGAAATATTTTCTGTAAACATTATCAGGTACTTGGAGAACAAATAAATTATCACCCTCAAAGCTGACACTATGTAGAGAAATGAAAGAAGAGTAATTCTCACACTTCTAATTGTTTTACAACTTCAAAAAACACAAAACATAACCAAAAAAACAACAACAAAAAAACCCCAGTAATATTTAAAGCATTTATTTTGGAAGCACTGCTTTTAAAAAGTTATTCTTGCAAGTATTAGCACCATCTAGTGACACTTACAGATCTGTTAAGCTGGAACTCTTGAATGACATAGTTTTGTCATTCAAGAAGAAGATAAAACCCATGCCCATTAAGCAGCATAAAAATGAAGTATCATTATGCATCTAGTTGGCATGAGGAACCACAAGGATCACAATAATGCAAAAATTAACTCAAGTACATGTTTTGATTTGGTAACAAAACATTTTCAAAATTATAGTATTGATATGACTGAGGATACTCATATTACTCAACCTCAAATTAGTCCTATTCTATAGGCACGTGAATCTATTTTTATATATACTTATGTGTATATGTATATTTATACACATAGATACATGAATCCTTGATGTTAAATGAACTTTGGAAAACATCACCAAAATTTGACAAACCATGACAAAATCATCAGTCATATACTGAAAAGAAACAGAGGACTAGAATGATAATCAGGTTTAGAATGTTAGTTTCAATTCAATTTCAGAAATAATGAATAATATTATAAATGTAAGAGTTGAGCTGCAATATAATTTCCTTCTTCGTCAATCTTGAAATTTTTACAAAGAATGCCTAGTTGAATCTTTTTAAATCCACTCTTGTGGATTTATTCGTGCAATATATTTCAATTACAAGACCACATATTGCAACAGTTACAATTAAATTGTATCAGTTACAGTTCAGTCAGAATAGAAAATTTTCTTTGACTCAAGATCCAGTAAAAGGGAAGCTTTCAGCTCTAAAGAACAGTTACTGCAAAATCAAAGACAGAATTAATAAGGATCTTTAGATTTAATAGCAGAATTGTAATACAGAGATATCCAGACATACTTTCTGTCAAGACTTCAATAAACTCCCATACTATAGTATGCTAATAAATATACATGAAAGATTTAAAAATTAATAAAAACTAAGTTAAATCAATGAAACATGGGAAAGGTTTATATTCCAAAACATTTAATTAATAGCTTTTAAAAAGCACTGCAGATTAAGTTAAAAAATGCAACCTGTTTGGTAGGCTTGCAAGTTATTCAAGTAATGTCTACTGAAAGGCACCTCTGAGATGTTGTGTTTCAACAGCTGAAACTGAAGTCTTACCTGAAAAAGGATGGCAGCATAAAATCAAGTGTATAAATGCAGCTATACAGTTTAAAATCTTTAGTGCATCTCAAAACAAGAAAAATCTTTGTCCTGCTCTCCTTTAAACTGTGATATATGGCTCACTATGAGATGTGCCTGATCTAGTCTGGAGGTTGGTGTGCTCCCTATGGTGGAAGTGTGCTGTTGAGTAAAGAAACATTATTAGGGGAGCAGTAGAACATTTCTCTTCCATGGCTACATTCCTGCGGATGCAAGACAGTCATGACAAAGCCAACTGCCATCACCAGCACACCAAGAGCAAGAATCAGGCAGGAAAGGAGGTTATCTGAATGGCTCCACCGCTCCTTGGACAGCCTTAGGTAACACGCAGATGGGATGATAAAAACAAGTGGGGTAGCACTCAGAACTCCCTGTGTGTGAGAAAGAGCAATAGAAAAAACCTCATAAGCATGTTTATTTAGATGTGACGAACAAAAACCTACATTTTTAAACAGTTGTTATTAGACTGATGCAACAGTAAAAACAGAGGATAAAGGCCTTCTCCTGTGTTGCCATACGAAAAACCTTTTCAAAATCCCAAATAATATGCAAAAACATCTGTTAAACTATTTCAAATAATGAAGATTTAAATAAATTGTTTTGCTTTGCTGATACAGAATAATATTTTAACATTGCAAGAAGCATTTAATCTTATTACCCAAAGTTTCTCAGCTCAAGAGATAGAGTCCAAACATGGTTCTTCAATACTTGAACTGATTTAAAATATTTAAGATAATTCCATGGAGGAGTTTAACTAAAACACTGCCTTTAAAAGGAATAAATCTTTTTGAAAAGTGGAAGCATCAGGTAGCACTTCAAAGAATTCTGATCAGTTTTGACATTTATAACCCAATTTAGGTTGACTTCCCTATGAAAGCAAAGCTCCTTTTGACAGAGTAGAACCTTTCCTCTCACTAAAAATTCATGTCCTTTTTAAATGCTCTTTTAGAAAGGGACAAACAAAAAGCACTGTTAAAGATTCTTTTTATAGTAAAGCCACTGCAGATTAGCATATGAGTTACATACCAAAAGGGAGCAATTTTATGTAGAAATTTTGAATGTTTATTTTGTTACATATTTAACAAACACTATGTTTCAATTTAATTATGGCAAGATAGTAATCCAGCCTAAGTAATAACTTTACATCACCATTTTTTACAAAAGTTCCAATATTTGTATGGTTGAACCTCTTAAGAGCGATCAGTATAGACTGAGAAATAGGCACAACCACTAAGTATCTTCTCCATGAAGATTAAGACTTAGGTCTGTGAAGTAAAACAAAACAGCATCCCAGTAAAAGAATAGCAAAGCAAACTCTGTGGCCCTTTGACTCCCACATGACCCAATAGTTTCCCTGGGGAATTATCACCAGGCAAACACAATGGCTTGTGTTTTGTTCTAAAACCAGAAAGCAGGGAAAGAGTAAGCAGGGTCAGAGAAATAGTATCAAATGCCATCTGTGGTGAAAAGCCAAAAGACAGCTCTTCTGCTGGACAGAAACCCAGCTGAAAAGACACATCACCTTTCTTTCATATGTCAATACTCTGTCTATTCATTTTTTCCTACTGCTGGATATCTAGACTGAACAATCTTCCTGAGCATCATTATTACATCCCATAACGACCTACAGCTGTATTGTCAAATTCTCTCTTCAAGAAGAAAAAAACCAAAAAACCACAAGCTAAGAGGTACCCATGCAAATGCCTGGTTATCAACTTCTATTTGTAACTGAATAAAGATATCAGCTTGCCTACTGACTAATTGCTTAGGGGAAAAAACCACTGCATTGATGGAATGCTTGCTTTTGAGGGAATTGTATCTTTCCAATGAAATATATATATATAATTGTGTATTTCCATCTCTGTGGTCTAGCTACTACTGGCTCTCTCTTTCTACCTCCCTTTTTGGTTTTAGCTCCTTTGTATCAAGGCAGTCACTAAAATCTGCCCCAGTGTTTAGTAATTTGTCAACTTCATCAGAAGCAGGGACTAGAGAAAGAAATGCCAAGTTCAGTACCACTATACAGTCTGGATGAGTATTTTAGTGATTTCTGCTGTGACTTAAACACATTTTGTAAGTCATAGCCACTTGCCTTATCTACAAAACTTCTAAAACCCTCCCCAACCATACGACTTTTACTGCTTGAAGTTCCTTTCACCTTTAATTATCTGTTTTTGAAGCAGTAATTCCTTCTTGTAGCACTACTGTTGACTATGTCAAATTACGTAAGATTTTCAGTAGAGCTATATATTTTACAAAGTTCTGATTAATAAATGATGTATTAAATAAAAGAGTACACAGGTTCACTTACATTCAGCTCTAAAACTATTCCAAGGCAATCATACACTAATGATACACCAGTCGCCACAGCAATGATAACTACTGTCACAACAACATGGAAAACTGTTGAGAGGCTCCCATGGAAAAACACATTGGCAATCACCTGAAATAGAATCACAATTTTAAACCTTGATTTTTCTCCTTATGTTATCAAACAGCTTACTCTAGACCTTCTAACCTTAGGAAACTAAAGGAATGGATGAGAATACACTGGCTGAATTTTACTTGCCTTGCTTTAAGAAAACATCTTCATCTGCTTCCAAAAATAACTCATAATAATCATTGCTAAAGTTGCAGAACACTTGCCAAACTGACTTAGTTATACCGGCAGGATTTTAGGATTTACTCTTTTCTCATTTTCCCTACATTTTTTCATTTCCCTCATTTTTTCATTTTCACTACAGAATAAATCCACTTATTTATTGAATTAATAGATTTCCTATATGGAGATACTTCTAAAAAGCCAAACTATTAAGAATGAAATTGAATGTCCCCCATACTCATTGCACATAGCAGGATAAAATATGCTACTATTTATCACAGATTAATCATAGACTTCAATATGTATGTAGCTACAATATGTATAATAATGTGACAATATTATTAATTTATAACAAGAGTGTTAAAGGTAAAATGTAATAAATTCTTACCTCTCTAGTCACAAAACATTCAAGGGGGAAGGTCAGAATTACAGTAACTCCATAACAAAACCTTCCAAATGTAGCAAGGTTGTCATCTCTACAGTAGTTTTCAAATATATCTCCTGAGGTACAGCAAAACACCAATTAGCTTTAACTTCACATTATTTACCTATATTTGCAACTTGGAGTTACTGGAGATTTTCTGATCTCCTCTTCTGACATATAACTAGAAACTAGTTACAGTCACAAGTTATGTCTGGGAACAACTTTCAGCTTATACTGCTGGTAGCAATGTTTTTACCTCAAGTAGCATTTATCTTCAAAAAATATTTTAAAATATCAGAGTTTGTCATCTGTTATCTTTCCCATAACACAGATTTTTTTTAATAAGATGCCAGTGTTTGATTAAATAAATATGTGACAGATTCAGAAAGAAAGCTTATGTGTAAAAGACAAATTTTCCCTAAAAACTCCTAGAACAATTACATAAAAAAAGGTGAGAGTTACTTGTGGAGAACTGCATTTCCCTGATAGTATCTAATCACAGCTAATAAGCTGTAGAGAAGAATTTCAAGTATTCTGACCCCAAAAGCCCATTATAAACATATGGATTATTACCTAGAAAATCTTATATCTAAAAACAAAAGCATCACTAGAAAATTCAAATCGTCTTGCTTGGTGTTTACCACAAAGAATCTGTAATAATGATCTGTGAAGCACAAGAGACAGTGCAAGACAGTGACCAGATGATCTATCAGTTCTCTTTTATATGATTATGATGCTGTCTCACGATTTACTACTTTAAGGATCACACTGAAGAATCAATAGGGTTTACTTTAAACAGCCAAAAGGTTTTGACATGGGAGATAGAAGGTGAGATGGAACCTCCTAACACAAGAGTCATAAGCAGAGGAGGAGCTGCAGACAGAGCTTCCTGTACCTGAAAGTTCTCAGCCAAACCTACAGTACATCTAGGACAGTGACTTACTCTGCTGGAGTAAGCACTGGAGGCAGGAAAAAAGAACAGATAAACCAGGAGTCCCCATCCCACAATTTCTCTGTTCTCAACTAAATGCTGCTGCTCATCAGAAAAGGAAAAAGCTTGGAAGCCTCCTCCTACAATCCAGAATGTTACTATTAAGTAACAGAAAATATGCTTGCTTATGAAATGTGTATTTCCCTTGAGGAAAGTAATGCGCTGAAACCAATTTATACCTTGCTCTTATGAACATACCTTTTCACTTCAACAGAATTATGTTAAATAGCGTGATGCAACATTGATTTTATATATTTATATGTATTCATAGACCCTCACAGAGGGCACAGTAGAATTAGTAACACCAGAACAGCTGTTGCAAAGATAGGAAATATCTCTAACTCTAGGATGCTGCATTAATACACAGAGGAAAAAATGTAAGAAAATATACACAGATATATACCACATACCTCATAGGAATTTTTTTTCTTACTGCTCTCTGCTTCTGGACCATTGGGATAAATCATAGCTGTATAGTCCTCAGAGTTTGAATGATGGAAGTATTCAAAGGGGACTTCCACTGGTGAGGCTTATGCTTAAGAATCTGGCAGCTATTAGCATGTAGCTGACATTTTTGGACCCCATTTTGGTTGTTGGGTAACTATGAGGAATGTCCCATTTCTGCCCAAATATAGTTTAATTTTTGCCTTTTTACAGTCACTAAGAAGTTTACATCTTAAAAAAAATCAGGCAGAAAGGCATAAATGTAAGGATTATAGCAAGCACCAAAACTGAGGGATCCAGCAGTTTACCTTCTGTGTATCCTGTAAAAGTCATATATCCACAGGCAGCGAACACTACACTGATGACAAAAGCAAGGGCCACAGACGTATGTGTGACTCGAGACCAATTCTTCAATGTGGGTTCTTCCAGAGACTCATATATTAGAAAACTGTTATGATGGCAGATGAATGCTGGAACACATGACAGTTTAAGCAAACGTATGAGTTCATGCATAAACGCATTAGAGACACAGCACGGTTTGAATTCACTCATTATTAAATACAAACATTAATCTTGAAATGAGCGGCAAAGATAAATGGTTTGAACCTTTGCTTGCTTAGTTGATTTGATGAATGTTTATATCCACCCTGAGATTATTCTGATTACATTATCCTTAAATGCTATGCCATTTCCCACCCTTCACATCTCCATTCCACAGCTATTTCCTCTTTGTGCTCCTCTTTTACTTAAGAATCCATCAGCAGATTTGAGAAGTTTTGGGTTTTTTTAAATCTACAGAGCCATTTGCTACTTCCAAACTTCATATGGCATCCATTTCAGGCAGCAGCAATCATTGGGAGGCCTCAGATTATCACAACATTAACAAGAAATAATATGCCAGATCCTGCAGGCAGGAACAGATTTCAGAATGAGGACTTTTCTGTTGGAGGTTACCCAAGGGAATGCAGAATGATCCCAATCCCCTCAGTTTATCAGTTAGATGAACTCAGTGATGCAGGGGCTTTAGGATGACCTGCACAGGTGAGCTGGACTCGTGCACACTGTCTTTGCTAAGTGGCAAGCCTCTATGGCCAAATGCACAATGGATGACATTAATGTTTTACACAGTAACAATGACATTGATATGGATCATTCAGTCAATTTTTTTTTTCGTACACCAGTTTAACAGAAATATATATAAAAAAATCTTGGTTCAAAATATTAAATATTTTCTTACAAAAATTAAGTAATTTCTTACAATTGATCTTGATATTAGGAAAAAAACCCAGCAAAAACAGCAAAAAACACTTACCAAATGACATCACTCCAATGGCTTGTACTGCATTTGATTTTGCAAAAATCCATGCATTTTCTGATTTGGGTCTAAAACAGACATTTAAATAATTACCCTCTTTTCAATTACCAGTTATTAAAAATTACTCAAGTAACATGCTGTAATACAGAACTGCTGCTAGATAGATCTCCAGAATTCTCTGAAATAGCCCCACTGTTTATCAACAAGCTGAAACCTGAGAGATATCTTTCTCATTTCCCTTGTTTTGATTCAAGTATTTGTGTAACCAGTGTTTACAGTCAAAAATGTCAGCTTTGTAAATAAATTCTTCAAGTCAGCATATACCAAGAAACAGCAACACAGAAGGTAAAAGCTGTTACTGATTCTGACTAAGGTTATCTCAACTGAAAATGTCCTCTGCCTATTTAGAGGCAATTTCTACCTTTGAATTTAAACATGTAATCCATGCAGTCGAGAGATATCATTTTATTAGGCTACAAATCAAGTGAAGGACTTTGCCTTTTTTTACATTTCTTCTCACTGTTCCTCATAGTAAAGAGATTCTGCTGCTTCCCAAAACATGTAAGAAATTGCAAGAGAGTACATGGAGACTTTTACAGTCAGGCAAGAATGTAATATTCCCTACACATCCTCCTCTAAGATATGCTCACAGATTTGTACCTGTAAGTAATTGCAATGCTCAGAAGAGGACCATCAGCAAACTTTGTTAAAAACCATTTACTGCATGAACTTCATCTTGGAATAAAGAGCCAAAATGAAAAAAACAGGGAAGGACACAAAACATCCTTTTCCAGAAATACAATTTGCTAAAAACATCAAATGAAATTCACAAGTTAGTTAAATATTGAATTTGTAATATTAAAGCACACACAATGAAAAATAATCCAGCGAAGCTTGCTCTTAAAAAGTTGGCTACTGCTAACCTTGATTGCTCTGTTTTTATTTAAAGGGAAAGCTGCTGTCACCTGAGGCCTTAAGAGGCTCTTTTCCTACTGCCCTAGGAAGCAGTATGGCACTCAGGCCAGTTCTGTGAAGGGAGCAATGGCAGCTTCATCTCTCCCTCTCTTTGGTGATCTCTCCCTCTCACTGTTTTGACAGCTGCAGTGGCATATGCTATGCTAGGTTTCTTTGCTTTCAAATGTTTAAATTGCACCTCCATCCCCTAAAAATAAACAGATTAAAATAAAAGTAATAATAATTTTAGAAGTAGAAAAAAAATTTGCATTTTCCTCTTTCAGAATTAATATCTTACTATTTCTTGAGTTCAAATAGTCAATCCTTCCTTTTCATATAAAGAAACCCAGGTTTTAAGTACCTAATGAACATTTGGTTCAGACTTAGAGCAGCTTCTCAGCTCTTAAGCTGTGGTTGTGAAGCTTAACTTTGAAGTTAGCAGAACCTGAACACAAAATCAAGTTCCCCTTTTTTGTCCTCAGGTACAGTATACTGTCTTGAACTGCTGTAACATACTGCTTGGAGCCTTAAGCAGATGAATATAGCTCTCCTAAAATATCCTCAGACTCAGCAAGTAGATGTAAAGTACTATGAATGAAATAGAGCTATCTGGTATTTGTCTTAAAAAATAGGAGTTCTGACGCTCTGTAGCTGCTGTTGCTCTCTATATAACCTCCTTTAATATTATAGTGCCACTGATTTCAAATCACCACACCTAGCTATTTGTCTGGAAAATTAATATCAATAATTTTGAATGTAATATCTTACAGGAAAACATTAATATCTGATTGGAAAAACTGCAATAATATTTAAAAATAAAAAGAATATAAAAGAAGCTAACACTACATATTTCAAAATAAAAAGAATATAAAGGAAGCTAACACTACATTTGTTCCATTCTGCAACCACTAGAGGTCAGCTTTGATAATAAACATACAAAATGAAAATTTATTTTATATTTTCCTTTGACAGCAGAATTTATCAGTTTTGACTCTTTCCTAGTAATAATTAAGTTAGATTATCGAATAGCTTATAAACAAAAATATTTTTAAATGCACAGAAATAAAGAATGCTTTTGCCTGAAACACATTTAATTTCTGTGAAAACAGTATATTCTGTGCAATGTTATAGCTATGAGCTCCTACAAATACATATTTAAAAAAGAAATTCAGAAAGCACATGAATTTCACTTGAAACATTTTTAATAAAGTGGCCAATTAATTAAAAAAAAAACAAATCACAGGAGCTGTTTTTTCCCTTGCACAGTGTTAGTTTATGCACTAGCAATATGCAACAGACCAAGAGATTGCTTTGCTTTACCAATGAATGACAAATCAGATTAGGAGTATTATTTGGGGGAAAAAATCCAAAAGAACAAAATCCTGCTTATTTAGCAGCCTAAGAAGATAAATTCCTTCCATTCTAGTTGCAGAATAGAAGAAGAATTTCAGATCCCTGATTTGAATATTACCAGCAGCTTGCAATGTTCTGCAATGTATGCTGGTACAGATGTGCTATGTTCTTCAGTAACTCATAGAATGTTGCATGCGCTTTGAAAGTCTTTTTCATACCATGGAAATAGAGGGATCTCATGCAGTGAAAGCACACAGCCAGAAATTTCATTTCTGAGTGTTTGGAACTGAGAGTCAACAGGTCTAGAGCTGTGATCACATCAATAAGAAATTACCCCCCAAGATCAGTCTGCAGAACACAAAGACTTATGAAAAGTTCCTGGGAAAGGGTGCAGATGACATGGAAGTGTCTATATAAAACAAGACTTCATAGAAAGACTTCTCAGAAAGAGAAAATTGTGTCAGAAAACAGTAGGTGTTAGCTATGGAAGAGCCATATAGTGAACAATCACATAAAATCACTCACAGGTCAAAGGGCAGCTAATGGAAACATCATCTGTCAAAGTAAATATACACACATTCATATAAATATATGCATCTCTGTAGGCAGATGCATACACACACTGAAAGAATATCACAAGAATACAGGATAACTTGTGGTTTTTCAATCCTGCTGCCACTGGTCAAAATTATTTTTTTTTTTGAGGGGACCTTTATTCTGACCTACATTCTTCTTAGGAGTTATTAGGGGAAGATTTTAACTGTTGCTTATGCAAGAATAGCATTAGCTGTGAAAATCCATGAATGACAAAACCAGCTAGCTCTCTGCTTCTCACTCAGTGTATAAAAGCACAGGCTATGTCTGCATGAACAGGAGGTTTGTTCATGCTGAAGAATTATTAGTTGGATAAAACAATGAAAGATAATAGAAGAAATAAATTTTTGAACTAAATGCACTTGCTGACAGCTGTATGGACATATTGATCTGTATATGATATATCTACCACATATAGTAGAAGCGGAAACACAAAGTAAAACCTGGGATATAATTTACCTGTAGTTCTTGGAACAAAAATAGTAAAATATTGAGTAAAAAGACAGTCTAAGGGAGTTCCCATACAGGAAAGAAGTCTAAGCTAAAACTAAGACAGAGACTGAAGGTAGTGAGGCCTAGAAATGGAAAAGACCTAGAGGGTAAGAAAATAAAACTTTACTCAGTCTTCAGTATATGTAAGTAAAAACAAACCATAATAAACATATTAACAAATTCTGAATTCTTTTTAAAATATTCATGTTTATCTATATAAGAACAGGGAAACTGAGAAAAAATGAACCAGGCAGAGGATAAGACATCCTAACAGGGTAAGCACCCAGATCATGAGTAAGAGTTGGGCAAATTTGTTTGGCAGTCTAAGATGACCTATCTTTCACTTCTTCTAAAACACTTGCAGCATAATAGTGCTCATCTTAAGATCAATGCTATACAAAAATATTTTCTGTCATTTATATAGAAATGCTGCAGCAGAAGAGTGCATGACAAGCAAAGTATTTTTAATGAAGAGAAATAAATATCCCTGATCTCAACCAGCTTGTGGCTATGAAACACTGGCTTGAAAAAAGAAAGGTGATTTCTAGAGAGGAGCTACAAGTTGGAATAAGTAAAGGACTTCCAGTGTTTTGGATTGAAGATCATTGTCAAACTGCCAAGTTTAGGTGCAAACCAGCAGTTAACAAGATACACCAGAATCATCTCACAAATTCATTCAGGTTTAATTCAAGGATTTAAACATTAGGAAATTACTTGTAACATTTTCAATTTAATTCTATTCTAAGGTAAAATGCCTTTCTAGGTATTTTTGAACTTTAAAAGTTTAAAGATACTAAAAAGTTCATAGATGTTGAATATAACTTTAATCAATATAATGGAAAGAAAATGAGCACAGCTCACACTAGCCTTGGATTTTATATTAATCAAAGTCATCTTGTGAAAGAACACAGATAAGGCAAAGCCATTATGTCAGCCCAACTTAGACACAGCTACTTCTACTCTTCTTTCCTCCTTAATGAATTACTTAACAGTTCTGTAAATACAAAGTAGCTTACTTGGGTTTTTTTAATTTCATCACACATTAAGTTTACCTTTCATTACTACTGTATTTTTATATGTAGGAAAGAATCAATTTTTTACTTTCAAGTTTTTTTCCTGAGCCCTTGGTGTTTTATTTCTGTGCTCAGCTGCCAGTTGAGTAATTCTCACGTCCTCTTTATGTGTAGCAGATACTCCTGAAGTTTTTCATAGACATTTATGTATTATGGAGACACTGACATCACAACATTCTTGCTAAAGAACATCAAATTAAATTAAAATGGCTCCTCTTTACAAGCTACATAAAATATTTCTTTTTACAGCAAGGTGCTAATTTCAGGTTTGAAGCATGAAGCTATTCCATGCAGTATTAACATGCTGCACTTTGCAGTTAGAAAGAATTCTTGCCTATTTTTTCTGATCACAATAAGTAAATATCCAGCCATAAGAAGATGGGAATAAAGATGAGGTCAAAATACATTTTTATCCAACATAAAATACAGAGAATGAACTCTTAATAATCCAGAACACTGGATTCTATCTGCAGGTTTATTATGTCATTCAGTTAACAATAATCATTTGGATTATAGTTATCAAAATCAAAACAGGAAAAAGAAGTACCTCAGTTTTATATTTGTCATAAAAGGAAATTAAACCAAGTAATCCCACATCTTAAATACATTTTGTTTTTCTCATGAGAACATGAAAATTAATATTCCTAAACTGTCCTTGAACAACCTGCCCCAAACCCAAAACAAATAAAGAGGAAATCAAACAAACAAAAAAAAAAAAAAAAAGAAGCAACACTCAAAACCTTGTAATTCCTGTTTAAAAATAGTAATAATCTTGTTGTTTCTCTGATGGTCTAAAATATTGCAGAAACTTTCAGATTACTGCAGAAAATATCCTTTATTGCTTTGTTGTCCAAAAAGAGATTTAATTTTCAACTAGAGCATGGATTGCATTTAAGCAAAAAAAAAGTTTTATCACTTCCACATAATGATCTTGTACCTCTCAAAGAGAGAAGAAGTGTTCACTTTGAAAAATCTAAAGGTAAATTAAAACTGATTATTACTCAGAAAGTAATTATGAAGCAGGAAGATATCCAAATGGGATTCCAGTGGAACCTGACCTAAGTCCAGTACTTTTGAATGTATTCAGCAATGACTTGAATGATGGAACAAAAAGCAAAAAGTGTCCTTAATGGAAAGCATGAAATGTGCAATCAATACAATCATGCTAGAGAATCATAAATATGTTGGTAAATGGAGAAAACATGTAATAAAGCAGCAGTCAATTCTGTAAAGACAAATTTTACAGTTATGTAGAAGATAAAAAAGCTTCACAAGAACAATGCAGGGAGAACAAACAAACAAAATCCCAAACTTCATGAGAAGAGTATCAAAGAAAGGAAAATTCACCAGCAAACAGTTCTGCAGAGTACCTCGTGTTTGGTAGTTCTACTAGACTGCAAACTCAAGGCACATTCATGCTATCATGCTATTTTCCAAAGAGGCTAACATCAAACTAGGTTCCATAAATAGAGGCATGGCAATCCCCAAGGGATACAGTTGAAAGGGACCTTACAACACTTTGCATTTAAGACACATCAATCTTTCTTTTCTCCTCCTCAGAGGGAATATCCCAGGCAGGTGGGGCACCACGATTCCACTTTATTTTGCAGAAAACTTAATCAGCCATTGAGCATGATTAGAAGCACAGGAAATGACAAAAAGAGAAACCCTAAAGGAACTGTGCATGTTTAGTCTATAGAAAGGATCCCCAAAGGGGGAAAATTTACAGCTTTTTTACATGTGTTTTTCAAGCACTTGAAAAAGCATAAAGAGTTTCCTGACCACATCCACTGTGGTTAGGCCAAGAAGCAACCAACATGAAATGGACTCATACACATGTAGGAAGAATTAGTAAGAAAAGGCTTAGTTAAGGATTGGAATGGGAAACCATGGAATTGTCTAATTTGTTCTTGACAATCACCTGTCATCAGTGACAGACACATAATCAGTTCTGCCATATAAGCATTGTAAAGATTAAATATTCTTGTCCCCATCAAGCCCTTATCCAGGATTGTACAAATTATTTTCCTATATGACAAATACAAGGACTGTGCTTTTATAATAATAATTTTAAAAAATCTCTTTGGGAACTCTGACTTCTAATGTATTTTATTTTAATAAGGATTCACAGTAAATGTGTTAATTCATTTGTTTCAGTTGTAGTATGATGAGACCCATAATAACAGTAACAGTAATAACAGTATCCTTTATTTTCATTGCAAAAAAAAGTCATGACACTATACAACAAAACAGAAGAGAGTTTTAACAATTAAAGTATATGTCTACGTCTAACTGTAAAATAAAATTAGCAAAGGTAGTAGAAATAGACATTAACAGAATGTTGGTGAAGAAAAAAAATTACCAACTCTTTATCAACCAACTTGCTAGGTGCATTTTTGAAAACAAGAAGTGTAAAGGCAGAAATGGAAGTCTCTAAAGAATTAAGAAGTAAAACTTCAAGAATCATTCAAAACCAAACAGCATGTATTGTAAGAAAAACTAAAACCATGCATTCCATATTTTCAGCGCATCGCAACTGTGCAGAAGAAATGTTACCATAGTAACAAGGTTATCAGTAACTATTATATATAGCTTGTTCCTTTCTTAACAGGGAGTTTGAGATTAACCTTTTAAATACCCCTTTGATACACAGTGTGAAAAACATGCTGCTCCAGAAATATGGTGGGGAGGGAAGTTCCATACTGTTCTGAGAGACAGATTTTGTGGATGATAGACATCATCATCTGGTACAACTTAAAAAACTGCTATTCTAGGCATCTTCCTACCATTAAACCTGAATACCCTGCAATTAACCCATGTATCACAGCAGTAATACAAATGAACAATTGTGCCTAATACTGATGAAACAATCCTGGTGGAAGAATCTACTTAGGGAATAAGGGCATAAGTACCACCGTATAGGCCTGTTCCAATAAATAAAAAAGCGCATTCAGAAATAGAATTTGTCATCTTTATTAATATATCTATACATTTAAAGGATGAGAAAAAAGACAGCCTTTCTAAGCCTTTAAGGAAAAATAATAGATTCATAACACTTTCTTGCAATATAATCAAAAAATATTGTCACAACACATACTTATGTGTACTAAATTGTCTAGAACACTCCAATGTCCAATGTTAAATACTATCTTCAGAGTAAGCGTTTTTCATATTTTCATACTATATAGTTGTTTTCTCAAATGACAAAATAAAGATTTTATTATTGTGTTGTTTTAAAAAATTCTCGGGGTTTGTATTTGATTTTTATTATTAATTTGTTATATTTATCTTATCAGAAAAAGAAATATTCCTAACATAGTATCTATTTTAATGACTGTAAATATAGTCTGACAATAATGGAAAAATTTTTTAAAAAATCTCAAATGACAGACAATCTCACATGCCAATTCAGGATCCACCTGCTATTGTTATCCATAATTTCCCATTTATCTCTAGAGGTTTTGAGACTTTCTCTATATTTGCTCATACCCAAGAGAAGAAAAAATTTAAAAGGATGAAGTATATTTAGCTGTTCATTTTGTATTATTGTTGATAGAGTTTTTTCAACTACTTGTGTGTTCCAAAGCAGGCATATTCCACAACTATGCATGCAAATGCAATAGTGAAATAACTGTTATATCTGAACAGTTGTTCACTTTGTGGCAAGTGTAAGAATACTCACACTTGTGGACTGAAGGTTACTGTTCTCACCATCACAATAATCAGGATGACAATGGTTAGAATCAGAGAAAGAAGAGATACCTGGAAAGGTAAAAGCACGACTTCAGTCAGTAAGCTGCTGAAAGGTTGTTCCTTGAGCAACATAATCATTTGTTAATTATTTACACAAAGTTATGACTGGCACTTATTTTCAATGGCATACAGAATAACAAACCAAAAATCAACTGCTGTTGTGATTTACCTTTCCCAATTTTGCTATGTCTCGATATAAAGATATAGGTAAGGTAAAGATGATGGTGGTAACAAGAATTATGAAGTGACGGTCGGTAAGCACGTTATCCAGCCCAACTAAAGCAAAAAAGAAAATAATTTATTTCTTTAAGAGACTAACTTGAGGAAAAGATTCGCTACATTTGAAAGGTCAGAAGTAATAAACTGTTGGTGATCAAGCTTTTATTCCCTTTACTCAGCCTAACAAACACTGAAAACTAGGCATTAACTACACTGAGAAAGCCATGGATAGCATGGGCATAAACACAAGAATTCTGAAAATTCAAACCAAATGCATCACATATGGGAAATATTAAATCAAAATTGCAATGTCTGGATTCCTACATATAGATTGGTATTAACCTCTTTCATCACGTCTGGGGTCAATGCTGGGAGACTGCAAGTAAAAAATTTTACTACTTCTTTCTACCATTTAGTCTTGAGAATTTTTTGATACTCTGAGTTGACATCAATTACTGTGCTGTTTAGGATAGCATTATTCTGTAAGAAATGGCCTAAAATAAGTTAATTTTGAGGTTTCTTTCGAGCACCTCCTTTCTTGCCATCAGCCAGCTTCCACTTGCAAAGTAGATTGCCATGTGAAGGCAACAATGCTGCTATAATATTCCATGCAATCAGTGGGATTTGTTTGCATAACTGGTGGGTTTTTTCAGGCCAATGACAACTTAAAATAAAACATCTTCAAGTTCCAGTGAGGCCACCATAAATCATTGGCCTGAGTGCACACTTGATAAATAATTATGGTTGGAAAGTGACCAGCAATTGACATGGAAAATTCAGTGTTCTGTTCCCTCTTTTCTTTGGGAGATTATAATGCTTTCCCACCTTTTTCCAGGCAGGTATTCTACCAGACAGATAATAAGATTTGCCATGCCTCTATTACAGAAGTCATATTATATATAAATTATTAGATATACACTGTCACAATCAATTTGATTGGGTATTCAAAGAACAACAGAGTGTGACAAAACTGCATCCACGCCTTTCAGGTTTCACATGCTGAAAATTACAGTTCTCCTGTGGAAATGAAACAGTTCATACAAATACGCATTTCCACTTCATTACAGACATCTTTTCTCTCAATTTAATTTCCCAGTGAAGAATGCTTTAACTCAGCTGATTTTGTGCTAAAGTAGATATCAAACACATACACAAATTGCTCCACTGATGCTGGTTTGAAACTTAGGGCACAGGAAGGGAAACAAGGGGCATGAGTTAAGAAGCATTAAATTCATTATAATATTTGCAACTTATCGAGAATTATTCACTAGATGAAGTATAGTTTCACTATTTAAATTATTATTATAGGAAATATCTTAAAAAAAATTTGCAAAACTCAATAATCTTGGATATACACAACTGTGCAAGACTCACTTCTATCTGCTTAGTATTTCACTGAAGCATCTGGTCTCTTCACTGACACTGAGTCCACTGATAGCCAAGGACTAGGATTCATAGTTTTTATTTGGGAAAGGCTTATTAAAGAAAAAAAAACAAACTCAAAAAACCCCACTCATAAACATATGCTTCAAGTACTTAATTTGAACTAAACTTAAGAGTAATTTACAAGCTAAATTACAGGTAATTCCAAAATACTTATGCTACGCTTCTATACAATACATAATCCCCCATTCTTAAAATTTTTAAATGCATCTTACCTCCAGGAATTCTCTGAAAAACTTTAGTTAAAGTGTCTCCTGTTATTATATTGTAACTGATCATAGCTTAAAGAAAATAAGTGTTTTGTTAGTGTAAGTCATATCCAAAATATTTGATTAATACTGAATTCATACATTTTGTAGATTTCAGGATTATATGCCACTATCCCTCTAATATGAATTCTAGCTAGCAGCAACAACTTGTAAGTTTCAGGTTTAAAAAAAAATTATTTAATGCAGCATTGTTTATTTTTTTTAAACAGGTACAACCTAAGCAATAATGCAGCCTTATAAACAAGGCCATTGTGCTGAGTGGCCATATAAGCTTACTTCAGAAGAGGATAAAAAAGGCTTTCTAAAACTGTTTGTTTCAAATAGCAATTCTTTGTCAGTTTATTTTCAAATGATTGTTTCTATTTAGTAAATTTCCTGTGCTAGTCTAAAAATCAGTTCCGCAACGAAATGCAAAGGACTTTCTAGCTCATGCAAAAAGTAGCTAACTCTTTAAACCAGAAAAACAAGGAAAAAAGAGATTAAGATATCAGATAGGGACTCCCTCTCATGTAAGTGCTGTGGCCTTAGCACTCATATTTCATTCTTCTCTAACGCTACACTAAGAATGACTAAATTTGTGCATGTGCGTATATGCACGCACAAAATATATTTATACACTCTCGTGGTCCTCAGCATTTAGACAGCATATATTTACTTACTGACCTTAACTACACGTAAATATTCAGTATTGTGAAATTTTAAGTCATTAACACTACTTATATAAATTAATTCAAACACTTACAAGTGCATAACCATAGCTCCATGGTAAGGACTGAGACCTTTACAATTCTTTTTTCGTATTATTGATGGAGTAGTTGATTTATAAAGGAGTATAATTAAAAGTGTAACACTGCTGCCTGCAGTAACAGTAACTTGACACCCTTAAAAATCTCAGGTATCTGTATCCAGACCCAAAATAGGAATTTTGATCTGTGACTCTGTGATCATGAAGTCCAGACTCGTAATATCTCAAGTCATCAGATGATTTCACACATGCAGCCCCATGTGTGAAAATATCAAGATTATTTCAGATTTGATTTAATTATGTTGCAAAAGCAGGAGACAGATTCAGATTATAACTTTATTTCAAACTTCTGGTCTAAAAAATTCCTGCCCAGATTATACCTTTTTGTTCATTTACTATTTCTTCTTCGAAGGAGTCTTGACTGCCCAGTTTCCTAGTACCTCGTTGGGTATGAGGCTGAACTAATGCTTCTGCAGAGCAATGACAGCACATAATATTCTAGCAAGACCTAAACAGTGGCTTCCCCAATTACAGTAACATTGCATCTTTGAAAAAATACTAATTCTGTACACTCCTAAATTCATATTTTCCTTTTGTTTCAGACACATCAGCTTTGTGCTCTGCTACTCAACCTAGAACAGAATCTCCTTTGCTATTTTCCTAGCTACTTTTGTCATTAATTTTCATCTGTGTGATGACGAATTTCTCTGCTATTACATTTCAGTTAATTTCTATTATTCTGATCCTTCAACTCATTGAATTACTCCTCAGTCATTTTTCAGAACTCACAACATAAATTTAAATTTTTTAAATAGCAAAGAAGCATACACAGTACGTTCTTTATATAGTTCTTAATATTTAATCAGCAAAACAATGAAGTAATGTGAAAAAGCTTGTTACTTATAGAAGTTAAACATTTCTATTTTATGTGATCTTACCAATAAATGGATATAAAAACTGGAGAGTTGAAAGGATTAGATAACCTACAAGACCATAGGTTTTTTTGACCAGCTCTTGATAGGTTCTCGTACTGGACAGATTTCCTCCTTTGATCAGTAATATAATGGAATAATCTGTTAAAATATAAAACTACTGTTAAAGACAATATAAGCCAACTTGTGGTTGATTACTTTTCATCTTCTTTCACTCTTCTAAAAAAAAACCAGCCTGTAAGAAGAAAAGCAGTGGCACTAGGAAGACCAGGGATGAGAAATCTCACAAAATCTTTCAACCCAGGAGCTATAGGCTCATACTGGGAGAAAAATACTTAAAATCATAGTACAATCAAAGGTTTTCATTCTGTGGTCTATTTTTAAACAGTCATATACAACCCACTCAAGATTCAGTCTCTTAATTAGGATAAAAACATGGACTCAAACAGGTGATTATGGGGGCAAAAATAAGAACATTCTTTCAAAGGTTACCTTGACCAGGAAACTAAGGCTTTATGAAAACAAATGCAGCCAAAAAGCAGCATCATATGTTGTACTGTGTAAGTCTCTATTTTTACTAATCTGCTTAAGGGATTAGTGAGGTAACAAAAAATTAGTCATTTTTATTGTCATAGATATACTTGTTTAAGGTATAATTAAACTTAAGATCAGCTAAAATATTGCATGACTAATTTTATCTTTACAACAGAAATTGCCTTTAGAGTACCTGTGATATAGGCAACCACAAGCAAAAGCAGTACTCCTAGAGGAAAACCTGCTTCCTTCATCGAATATGGCAATCCTGCAAAGCAGAAAAGGAGAGACTTTACAATACTCTTTCCAAATATTTATTTGTGAGAATTAAAATAAAGAAAAATTCAGATTTTAAAAAATGCTAGTCATGTCCCAAATTGAACCAGCATGCTTAAACCTCAAAAAGATAATTTTCAGTGGACAAAGTATTGCTTAAGTATGAAGCTCAGCCAGCACCTGCCCAACCTCTCTGATCATTATGGCCACGAGACTCTGGGGTATTTATCACTAAGGTGTGGCCTCAACTGACACGTCTGCATTTTTGTAAAGTAAGCAAACAAATACAGTGAAAAATCTTTAAAAATAGCAGCAGAAAATAAGGAATCAGTGTTATTCTCCAAGTGGATAGTCATGCATGAATATACAAGGCTCAATACAAGACAGTGAAGAAAAGTAGACTTACCTATAATGCCTGATCCTATGATTGAATTAATGATGTTAAAGCCAGCTGATGCCAGATCACTGTTTCCTCCTTTATTCTTGGGCTTACTAAGGAGGGCTATTTGGTCATCTGTTTCTACCTATTTCAGGAAGACAAGGAAAACACTATACATGAGAAAAATAGGTGAGAACAACGATTTTGCACAGTCTATTAAAGATTTTAAAAAATTTTCATAGACTCAGATTTGTAGAGGTATTTTGATAAATAAATCCCCTTTTTTTCAGTGAGAAATCAAAGGGGTATTAAGCAGCTAATTCCTCTATAAGTCTGACCCATAATCTTCTGTAATTATCTGGAAAATAGTAAGTGGAAGGACAGAAATATATATAAACTCAGAGGTAGGCTGCTAAACAAAGACATTCTTAGTCATGTTTCAAAGGCAGAAATGTGAATCAAGTATTTTTGAAAACAGCTTGGCTAATACAATTAGTCAGTAAAAAAAGTTTCTGAATTAGGGAAATGAAATTAATTTCAAGACTTACTAGTAAAGTATGCCAACATCTTAACATACTCTAATCCAAGGTTTTATCCAGTATTTTAAATATTTCTGTGTCATTCAATGGTTTAGTTAATTACGAATAGTTAATGACACTATAAAATCAGCTAGTCCCAGAAAGTTTCTGTGGGAAACAACCAAAGTTCAAAGTACAATATGTAGCCAGTAGCTTCAAAAACGGATGTTTGTATCTTCATAAAAGAACTTTTTAATAAACATGCAGTAACCCTCTCCTTAGATCACCACTGTGCTGCCAGAGGAACACTTTAGAATTGTCCATTAGAAAGACTGTATTTTACCTGAAGCTGTGAAATTCAAGGGAGGAACAAGCATTTAATGAATAAAATGCTTGCCTGTGTTCTGTGTACTAAGTTTGAAGGTAAAACCATTATTTCATGGATGCAGAAGCCTATTTAACATACATAGCAAGTAGTAGAAACTCAGACGCTTGTCACTAATATTCCTGGAAAAAAAATTAAATTACTGAAAAATCTAAGTCATCTGTAGATAGACACAAACTGACAAGCATAAGATTGCCTGCCTCTAGTAGGGCACATTTAAGTGGACCCTTTAATCCTTAAGCTGCACTAACATAAGAAGGGTAACACTGTCTCAGATCAAAGGCCAGTATAGCGTGGCATCCCATTTCTGAGTGATGACCATGGAAGGTGCCTAGGGAAACGCATAAGAACATAGGAAATAGCTAGTTAGCAAGTAACTTTCCTGTCCCAGCTTTCCTCAGCTTGTATATTTTGGACTTCCCAAAGTGGTTGTGTTCTTTGTGCATCACACTTCTTAATGGACTGCTGCTTGATTTTTCCCTTTATTGAAACAGTCTATAAGTTTTAGAATCTACAATATCATGTGTCAGTGAGTGCCACGTTTTAATATGCACCCTAGGAAGAGACAGGTATTTTAATTTAATTTGCTCTGAATCTACCATTCAGTATTTTCACTTGGTGTCTCCAAGTCTTTTGTGTTATCACAGACAAACTAACCACTATCTCCTATCCTCCTCATATCACAGAGTTTCGTAAGTGACATTCTCCCTCAGTTGTTTCTTATTTAGATTTGTGCTATATTTCACTACTGATTTCGGCAACAGAAGCATCACTGACATTCTCTCCTGAAATTTTAATGCTCTTTGCTAACAGCACAGTACAGGTGAAATTGCTCTGAATAGAACAGTCCAGTTCTCTCTCTTCAGTTATTACAAGAAATTAACACAACGCGCTTTGCTAAGCCCTGGTCCCTTTCCCCGGTTGAAAGGGACATATTTAAGTGGGGAAAAAGAAAAGGTAACAAAAAGTTGTGGCACGGGTGAAACGGCTGCTGTGTGAAGAGCAGCGCTCCCGAGGGTGCCCCTGGCCCGCAGGTAGGGATGGACGCCAGCCCGGCCAGAGAGCTGTGCAAGGCGGGCGGGGTGAACGGGAGGCGTCTGCCCCTCGCAGGGTCGCCTCCTGCGGCCCCCTGCGAGCTACGGGCCAGCCAAGGCCACCCGCTACGGCAGCGACAAGAGCGGGCACGGCAGGAGACGGGGCACGGCAGGAGATGGGGCACGGCAAGAGATGGGGCACGGCTGGAGACGGGGCACGGCTGGAGATGGGGCACGGCTGGAGACGGGGCACGGCTGGAGACGGGGCACGGCAGGAGATGGGGCGCTCCACGCTCTGGTGCTCACGCGACACCCAATTTCAGCCGTGCCGAGCAAACGCCCTTCGTTCCCCTGCCTCACACGGGTGAGGCCCCGACACCGCATTTCTCCCCCTCGTGGTACCTATGACTCTTTCTTCCTCCTACGAATTCGGGGGCAACTGAAAAGAGATGGAAAGTCCATCGCTGCCGCCCGCTCGCCCGCGGTGCGGGACGTTCCAGCGGCAGCCGCCGCAACCGGCCGCGATGCCCCTCTCACCCATCCCCGCCCCACGGGCGGCGGAGCGCACAGCGGAGTCCGGCGGGTGCCGGCGGGCTCGCCGCGCCGCGCACAGTCCCACACCTGGCCTGTCCCCAGTGTCCGCCCGGTACCTGCTGAGCGGCGGCCGGCGGCGGCTCCATGGCCGGCGGGCCCGGGGCGGGCGGGCGCGCCGCGCTCCTCGCGGCGCTCGCGGCGTCCGGCACGCGCTCCCCTCAGGCGGGCTCGGAGCGGTCCCGCGGCGCCCCCGCCGTGTGGGAAAGGCGGTGAGCGCCCGGCCCGGCCCGGCCGCGGCTGCACGGACCCGCTGGATCGCCGTCGGGAGCGGGAGGAGCGCCCAGGGCTGGCACGGGCGGGCGGGGGATGCGAGGAGGTGGCCCCTCCTCCGGGCGGTCCCTGAGCTGGAAACATGACAGAAAGTAAGCGCTTCTCCGCCTTGAATTTGTAAAACTTTGAGTTCGCCCAATCCTTGTTTACCCCGAGGGCACCAGGAAAGCTTTCTCGGTGGGATGTGTAACAAAAACCAGGTCCGATGTCTTAGCTGCTAATTTGTGGTTGCTTTTTAATACCTTTGTTGTTGGCAAGGTCTCACTATTCTCAGGGATGGTAATCTCCTGTAAAGAGTGATGAATTAGATATAGAACATACTGAGGTTCTAGTGAAAGTATAGGAAAAGGCCGAGCGAAATAAAAGATGCAAAATGACAGTGCTGAGCTGAGACCAAGCAGCGTCTAGCAGAAATATGCTTTGGAAATGTGGAACAAGCCGCACAAAGAAACATGTATCTTAAACCAAAACCCGTAGGAAGTTGTAGGCATTGATAAAAAATTGGAGGCAGTCATTAATTTCATGAAGTATTACCGGACAAAAAAGGTAGAACCTACAAGAGTGAAAAAATTGCACCTAACTTCGGGAACTTACTTCAATTACTGGGGGGCATCATCAGAATGTCGGCCCAAAATTTTCAACAAGATTGAATCATTATGGAGAAAAATGCTGAGAGATGACAACTAAGTAGCAGAGAAAATAGAGCGTGTTAATTTCCTTTCTATAGTCTTAAAACTCCTATAGTTGATAATACTTTGCTAGGGTAAACTGTGGTCGTTAAAGGAGCACATGTGCTGTGCATCAGTAATTGTGTCCTTAAAGATCTATGATGCATATGATTTAATATGGAGAACAAAGTGCACATAAAGAGCATATATGACATTTTTGTTCAATAGCTTAAGCACATTAGCTTCAGCTCCTTCAAAAAATCTCTAATCATCTCCATGACTAGCTACAAGCTGACATGTATTCTTGTGTAACTAGTCAGATGACATGACTCAGCAAAGAAACTTTGAGAGGCCTAAGATGCAATTCCCGTGATTTGTAGCAATGTTATTTTCTTTCTTGGACTATACAAAGAATTTTGTGTAAAACCAGAGAATTACGCTGTTTTAAAGCATACTATATAGTATGTTTTCAAGATAGTCTTCTGCCAGATTCTTTATGTTTAGTACTGTAGCAATTTCCTCACAAGGCCTCTGTATCTGACATTCATGTGCTCTATAATAATGAATAATGTGATTTTAATTCTTGTTTGGAGTGTGCATTCGTTACCTTTGAAAATAATTTCTGGTTTATGCAAATGCTTTCTCATGTATACCTTACAATTAATCAGATACATCCTTCAGGCTTTTTTTGACAAATTAAGTCAAGCTCCCACAATGCAGCTCTTAGTACATAAGGGGGCTGGTGCCTGAATGTGGCACTCACTTATTTAAGAGTCCAAGAATTTTACTTCTATTGGTCACACTGGCATGATTCCAAGTAGTGTTATGAGCTTAGTAGTTTTAATTCAGTATAGTAACAGTGAATTCGGGAAAGGAATAGGCACTTCCCAAAAGATTGTGCAGAGGTGTTTTTCCTATACTATGAGAATAGTTTTTGATTACTTGGATTACTCTGTGCTTCTTGTTGTGCTTTGGAATGTGGTTATTGTATAGAATGCTTAATACCAGTTTTAGTCTTAGCATTAAGACTTGCAGTACATTGCAAATAAAATTACAGGGTGCACCACAAGTCCATAATCCACTGTTTACATTATGTTCTTTGGGAGTTTGCTGTAGGACAGTTTGTACAATTGCTTATCCCTCT